GTGAAACAGCATCGCAATGACTGCTTGAATTTCTTGACTGCGGCCTCAGCCAAGTCAGACTGAGCATGGTACTGGGCGGTTGTGATGTGCGTCACGCCCTCCCTGCTCAGGAAGTCCTCAAAGTCATGGGACACGAGCTGCGGGCCGTTGTCCGACGTGAGATATTTTGGCTTTCCGTAGGTGCCAAACCACTCGCTCTCAAGGACATCGGTGAGTGTTGCTGTTGTTGTGTCGTCCACTGCATAGATCTGCATGAACCCGCTCGCACTGTCAACTGCTACTAACGCATCCTGAGGTGCTTCTCCTCTGTCCCCAATGTGTAGCAAGTCGATGTAGACATGTTCGAGCGGCTTTGCAATGTACGACATGATCTTGGGTGTGTGTGACTTTTTCTGGATCGCTGTCATCTGGCAGGTGTGACAGCACTTTGTCAGACTTTCTACCACTGTGCCCAGGCCCGGACATGTAATCAGCTCGCGCACGAAGTCGAGGGTCCGCTTGTACCCAGCGTGTGCCAGGGCCTGGTGTGCCTTGCGTACAAAGTCTCGCGCCGCCTCACGCGTCAGTATGGGCACCCACATGCCTACTGGCCCGGGCGTGTCACTGGGGGCCAGAGCGTACAATCGCCCGTCACGCAAGGCCTTCTTGCTGACGACATTGTATTCGGGAGTTGTCGGACCGTTGAGTGCCTCGCGTTGTTTGCACAGCTTGATCCAGGACTGGATCTCAGCATCGTCATCCTGGCAGTGCAGAAAGTCCGCGACATTCGGTAAGTCCTCTAGCGCAGACGCGATTCTTGCGAACTGCTGGCTCATGGATGCCGGTGTCGGCGCCACGGGCAGGGTAGTAGCTGGGTCGGGTGCAGGCATAGGGGTCGGCTCGGGCGCAGGGGTAGGGGTAACTGTTGCCCCCTGTACGGCATGCCTCAGTCTGCCGCGCTTGTGCCGGACGGGTGTGTTGAGCGCCACCGGCAATGCCGGCTCCTGCTCGGGTGCCATGTCTGTTGTCTGTGCACTGCGTCTGGGTCTACCGCGCCCACGCCGCGTCGCCACTGGGGGCTCTGCTGCCGGGGATTTGGCCTGTGGTACGTCTGGAGTCACCGTAGCTGCTGCTGGCGCCTCCACTGGCTTACGCCTGGGACGGCCACGCTTGCGAGGCAGGTCTGCTGGGGGTGTGGGTGAAGTTGACGCAGTGATGGTCTGTCCCTCACGCCGTGGCCTGCCGCGCTTACGAGCCCCGCTCACAGGGGGCGTTGTATGGGCCGTCTGCGGCATTGTGGCCTGGCCGAGGACGGGGTTGCTTGCCTTGCGCTGGGGCTTGGTCTGCTGGATGGTCTGCGCTCGGTTGGCTGAGCGTGTACGGGCCGCTATAGTTTGCATGGGGGCAGCGGCGGTCATGGGGTTGTTCCTCATGGTGCCGCCGTTGGGAAGTGCGTCGGGCTCGTCGCCATTGGCATAGACGATTGGGGTTACTGCTGCAAAGGCCCCGATGCAATAGGCCACCCTCTCGCCATTTGATTCGCGTGTGAATTGGTCGCCCTCGAAATCCATGGCGCCAATTGTGTAGACATACTCGCCCCCAACTGTCTCGGTCGCTGGGTTGACAAGGGTGTTTACCTCATCATCATCTACATTGCCCAGTGTCTTTTTCTTTTGCGGGCGCAGGAACTCTTTTGCGCGTGATAGCCAGTCGGCGGTCTGCTGCAGTTCCCCAGGGCGGTGGACGATCATGTGCTTCTTTATGCCAAGCTCGCTGAGGCCAAGCTTGAATTGCGCCAGGGGGTCGGCGTCATTGGTGGTCTTGTGCGCGAACAGCGAGACCACCGTGCCGCAGTCCGTTTCGATCCTCAAGTTTGCACACCCATCAAGGTACGCATAGAAGTGCTTCACAGCCTCGTACACAGCGCACGCCTCGCGCCAGGTTGAGTGTTTCCTCCCTTGCATGCCTCCAAATGCCCGTGAGAAGTAGCATACCGGCGCCAGGTCCTCAGGGTCGTCAGAGCGCTGGGCCAGTAGCACGGCACCCACACCGGCGCCCGCAGCATCAGTGCGCAGTACCAGCGGTGCTCCAGGCGGGGGTATGTAGAGGTGTCGAACGTCGAGCAGTGCCTGCTTAAGCGCATGCCAGGGCTCCTGTAGTGATCTGATGTCGTCTTTCGTCAGCCGCGTCTTGCCCACCATCTGGTAGAAGGGAGCTAGGATGATCTGGATCCATTCCATATGCTCTGCAATTGCGTTAATGCCGCCGCACAGACGCCGGATGCCTGCGACCGTCGTCGGCATCTCCAGTGCTCGCATTGTTTCCACTCGGTGGTCAAAGGCCTGCCATGTCCGGTCGGCGGACCACCGACGCCCCAAGATCTCTACGCCTGTAGTCGCGCACCACAGTGATTTGGACATGTTAATCGTGACATTCGCACGGGCCAGACACCGAGCAAACAGCCCTATATCGTGGATGTGATCAGTCTCATTGCCGGTGGTCGACTTTAGGTAAACATTATCAATGTAGACCATCAGACGTGGCCGCAGCTCTGGCACGCCGGACAGAACATGGGTCAGGAAGGCCTGGGCAATGGCAGGGGATTCGGAGTTTCCCTGCACCATGCGTAGGTTGCGTACCTTGCCTGCGCTGCCCCCGTCATAGGTCCAGAAGTCTGCGACGTCCTCTGCCAGGCGCAGCTGCGTAAAGAACGATGCCATGTCAACTGACGAGATCAGCTTGGCATCACGCAGGAACATAATGCGCTCGACTGGCGTCGGCAGCTGCATTCCAACGCTCAGCATATGTAACGAGTTGTTTGCTGAGTCGTCGAACAGCACACGCCTGTCCGTCGAGTTCGGCTTAACTTTGGAGAACACAGGGACCTGGGCGAATGCAACCGATGGACCGTCTATTCCATACTTGAGCCGGTTGGCAACGAAAGAGTTTCGGGCCTTGTGAGCAGGCTCGCTGAGTGTGTGTTGGACGGTGTACAGGGGGCACGCGTTTGTGCGCATTGGGGGTCGGATGGGCGCATAGGCTGCTGGCGGCGGGCAGCCACTCGGGTACTCACGTAGGGCACCAGCAGCAGTCATAAGGGTCTTTAGCAGGGATTTGTGGAGCTCGTCCGTAGTGCACTGATCCGTTGTGCGGCTAGCAACATTTTCCGTCGTCACTGCTGGATACAGTGCATCCCACTTGTGGAAGTCGGCATCGCGCGCTTCAACAAAATAGCCAGTTGGTAGGCCTAGTCGTGCCCGCATTGGGCGTGAGACAACTGGTTCCTTGATCGGGGGCGCATCAGGCGGGCCGTCCATTAGTGGGAACATCTGCGGGTCTTGTGCCACTGTGGGGTCTGGCATAGTGTCATAATCCGAGTCGCGTACAGCACGGGGACCATCGGGAAGTTTGTCTGGGTGGTCAGGGGTGCGTTCTGTGCCCTTAAGGCGTCGGCGCATTGCTGGGGTCATGAGGCGGATGCCCAGGCCCTCTTGGGCATGGTTTGACACCAGCAGCTCCCATGGCACCTTCATGTCGACAACGACTGCATCGTCCCAGAACTTTGGGCCACCCTCGACCTGCAGGCAGACGGTGGCCCGCCCAATGCTCTGGTATGCCTTGTCTGACCAGATGGGGAACAGGTCTGGCCTCGAGTTGGTGCGGATACGCAGCTTCAACCGCTTGGCAGCAGCCATGGTGACCAGGCTGACAGCAGCGCCATTGTCGGCTACAGCCATTGCTGGCTTATTATGTGCGCGGAAACCGGGTATTTTCGTAAAATGGCACAGGGCGGCCTGAGTAGAGTTAAACATATTTATTGTCCCAATAGTGTAACTGATACCCAAGCCGCTCAGGCTTTTGGGTCATTGTTGCCATATGAAAGTAGGGTTATCTTGTGGACTGTCTCGAATGCCTTGAGTCGGTCCAGGAGGGTCTCAGCAGTGACATCATTGGGCGCACTTCCTGTACATGCCCAGGAGCGGGTGTCAAGGCCATGTACTAGGCGTGAGATAGTGACTGCAGCATAGTCGCCACCACCCATGGCCTTGTAGAGCCTGCGCGCATAGTTGACCCTGTCCACTGCAGGGATGTTCTTGAAGGCCTTGGCTGGGCCTCCAGCAGCGATGCTGTGTGCCTTGGCCACAAAGTCTGCTTGCGGGATGCATTCAAGGAGCTTCTCAAAGAACTCTTCTGGTGTGTTCACGTCTAGGGTGCCCATGCGTCTGGCAGCTTGTCCGTCAAGCAGCTTTTGGAGTGCTGTGACAATCATTACTGCAGGAGTGCGGGTAAAGATGAAGTTGATTGTCTCTTGGATCCCTGCAATCCACTGCTTGGTTGGATTTCCGATATCTTCGCCATTGAACCGCTTGGCATAGTCTCGGAGCAGGTCCAGCTCCTCTTTGGCAGCCTTGGCTGGGGTCTGGGCAGCGGAGGTGGTAGTCAGCTGGGCAGTAGGGGCAGTAGGGGCAGTGGCAGGAGGTATGGGGTGAATTGCAGTCTGCATTGTCACGTCTGACCTGACGGACATTGTTGTGTTTTTGTTTTGTTTTATGTATGTAAGCGAGTAATAAATTTTGTTATAGTAAGAGGGGGGTGTGAGGAGCACTAGTTGTCTAGTGGTAAAAGTTAGGGGTGATTTTATAAAAGGTTTTATTACTGATGTTTCTAAAGTACTACTAGGGGCCAGCCTCATCTTATATATGTTCCCAGTCGCCTTTGTCGTGCACATTGTCCATTGTGCGCTCCGTTGGTGAGAACTGGATCTTCTGCGAGTAGACCGGTATCTTGGCAAGTCGATGTTGTGGTTTTCGTGCGTGTACGCTTATGCGTGTGCATTACAGGATGGGGGGCATGTTTGGGCATCAGTGTGATGCCTCCCTGATTTGCACCTGCATTATCCAATTAGCGTCCTATCGATCAGCGCGCAGGTGGGAACTTGTTTCGCGGTTCTCGACCTCAACATCTGCTTCCATATCTTCAGTCTGCGCAACAATCGAATATTTTATTCAATCACCCAAGCGCTGGACTCGAACTACTTTTATTTTTCTCTTTTTTATTTCTCAGCTAAAATATTCCAATTACATATTGAACAAAAAATAATGCATGCAAAACCACACAAGATTTTGTGCCCAGTGGCCGTCTGTGTTTTATACGTGTCTGTGGCAGCGGCAGATCTGCTCAATGATATTGTGAGCAACGTGAACAACGCGCTGCGTCCAATGCAGTCTCTCGCTGGTGATGTTATTAAAAACATTAATTCCCGCGTTGTATCGGACCTAGTTCCGGAATTGGTCAGTGCTGCCGAGCAAGGAGGAAATCTAGCAATCGGCGCGATATCAAATATAGCTAACAGTGGAGATACGGCCCATAGCAAAAAAATTGAAAACAACTCCGAAAGCGTCAATAGCGGCGGCAGCAGCAGCAGAAACATACTTTGGGGCTCGGCAAAATTTGTAACTGCAGCCGGTACTGTTGCCTGTATATGCTTGACTGCGTATATTTAAACTCCGAAGAGCTTCCTATATTGTCTAAAATATTTATTACATGAGAAATTTATGCTTTATTCTTTATTCAATATTTCATTCTGCAGGAGTGGCAGACAGGCTTGCTGACGCCATGATCAATAAAGTTATTTACATTCATCCCCCCTCTTTCGTACATTCTTGTGGTAAATTGACAGTAGCGCGTTGTAACTGCTCAAAAATATCTAGCCTTATTTAATTTTTCTTCATTTTTCGGCCAGACTCTATAAAAATGGTTGAGAGTGCTGAGTAGTTGACAAAAAACTATTAAAAAGGTTTGGGTTTAAAGCATTTGTTATTATTTTCTTTATATTATCATCATTTTTTGCATCATTTACAAGCTTTCATTTTTTTTCCAAAAAACACAATCCGTATGTCACCGATGCGTATGCATTTGTTTGGCAATCATATTGCGCTGCTGTTACTTTTAATCACATTTTGTTTGGTGGGGCGTAGCCAAGCTATACGCAACTATTTGCCAATGCCATCACCCGAAGACTCGAGTGAACAGTCTGCCAATACGATACGTGACACCGCATCTTTTGCCACAGACTACCAGCGCCAACCCCAAAACCAACAGGGTAATATATACACCCTACGTGTTCAAACTGCTGCTTACAGACTAGTCAAAAGAATTAATACTAAATCTGGAGAGTTTAATGTTAGTATTCCAGTTGGTTAATAAGTAAATATATATATATCTATACATGTGTAAAAATAAACCCATAATCTTTGGGGCTTTCTTTGGTCAAGCAGTTTTTGGTGTGTTTGGTTGAGGAAAAACTAATTGGAGAATCACACAATACATCCACAAAAAATGGCTTGGCTTGTATAATTTATAATTACTACTGGAAAGTTCCAGGATAAAGCAATATAAAAAAGGTGCAGTACTGCGCTCGCACCTATAGTTTCATTGCTGAGTACTGAAGTTATTGCTGCAGTGGCTTTTAGGCGCCTGAATGTGGATACTACTATTTGACGTCAAGTGGATGTATTACCATTATGCCATTTGGCAACTACAAATGCTTTAATAAATATATATATATTTACGCTCGTAGAGCAGATAAACGCTTAAAAGGAGAAAACAACAGGTTCTTAAGTATTTCGTGGCTATTGTTCGCTTTTGGTTTTTTATTTCATATTTATAACATTTCTTTATATCATATACCATTATATACAATGAAGTCTGTGTCTTCAGCTAGAATTATTGGCACAATTGCAATGGTCACAATGGCTGCGACATCTGTTGTCGGGGCAGGAGAATCATCGATTTCATCAGTGGTGGCAAAATCGGTAGAGGCCGAAACATTTTCGATCGCAGAGTTACCAGCATCCTCTGTGCCGATTTCAGTGTCTAGCACTATCTCGCCGCCAGTTTTGGTGCCCCAGTC